GGTTCCAGCAAAGCAGAAATGCGTGATAGGAGAGATACTGATGTTTTAAGTTTCTCCTACCTATGATATTTAGTTACTTCTTCTCTTTGTTAATTTCTGCTTGGAACAACATCTTTAGTGTGGCACTCCTTGCGTCTCTCTTAAAAACATTTTTATTTTGTTTATCCCGCATATGTGAATTTAGATTATAAATATCTATAATTTCAATCCATGGCTCCCGTTCTTCATCGGAAAGCATTTTGTAAAGAGTATATAATCACTGTTTTGTTAACGTCTTTCCGCGAGTAATGCCGGCAACGACTGCCAAAAGAAATCGGGCCGATGTACACACAGTACGGATGGGGCGGAGCCCCGATCTAGAAAGCATCGGCTGCATTTTTGCTCATGCCAGCCAATTAAGGAGGCGATATCGGTGATAGGAGATATCAGATTAGAGGAAGGAGGTAAGATATTATTGTGAGGGGCTATTATTTTATTTTGTTGTGGGAGTGACCGTTTTAAAAAAGGTAATCAACTAAAATCATAATGTTGCAAGTACTAAATAATATCAGAACACATGTTGGATGGATTAACTATTCGCCTTGGGGTCATACGGAAGCTAGCGCATGTAGGATGCTTGTAAACACGTCTTTTCTGTGGGTGTGATAAACATCGCGTTAAAAAGTAGCATATGTCACTCTATAGCCCACAAACAATCCCACATAAAAAAACATCACCAATCCTTTTCCTCGCTGGATCGTGAAAGAAGGATAAACAAACATGCTTTCTATAAAATTTTATGTATTATCATATTAAACATTCACATTTGCCTTAAGCGCAAAGGGCGTAGGTATGTTCTACTAGCGCCCAAAAATCAAGAATCCGACGTTTTGTCGCATGAAATCGTATCTAACAATCATATTGAACATATAAATGATATAAAACTCACATTGTCAGAAATATAAACGATTGTTGAACTTATTAATTTTTTTTAATCGATTGATTGCTATTTTTACACTTAAAAAGTGGTTTTAGTGGAGGAGTCAACACGATAAGTTTTGAAAATATAAATTGTTCAACTCAATCTATTTTTTTAATCTGTTCATCTATCATGCGGGAAGATATGGAATGTAAATTGCTGTTTGAGTTTATTTTGTTTAGTAATAATTAATATTTTTCAACTGAAAAAAATCCGAAATTTTCAGTGTTGGCGCAGCCTTCTAATAATATATTTTACTAAATATAGATACGCTTTGACTCACTGCGGGCTCGGCCGCCGCCATGAGTAGATTACTGTATCATTTGTTTACAGCGGCTCGTGATGAAAAATATCTATCGCTGTAGAAATACAAAATATTCCAAAAACTAAATTTGATACATACTTGACAAAGGTAAGATAGGTTATTAAGTTTCGAGCGCTTTACAGCACCCATGGTCACGGGGGGGGGGGGCTGTGAGATGTTCAATCTTAGAGCATACATTACATGTAATGTAATGTATGCTCTAAGTGTTTGTCCAAATGTCATAGCTAACCGCGGTTACCATAGATTAAAATTTAACTTTTGTTCTGATCTAAATCTAGTTGCGCGATCCGACTGATGTCCAACTAAAATGCCGAAATGATCGGTTTTTTATAGCAAAAAGAGATCTGCCACTGAAAATTTACAAATAGATGGCGTTACTTATACAGGGTATTTTTGAAACGCTCCCGAAAACGAAGACAGATGATAATTCTAAGGATACCTTTGATGATGGAATGGGATTTAAAAAAACTTTATTTAAAACGTTTAATTAGCTTTATTCGCGCTCCATCATGTTAAAAAATTCTGAAAATACCCAAACATAAACCAGCAGTAAAAATTAAACATGAAATAAGCTGATTATGGGGTCAAAAAACGCGGACGCTGAACTCTTTTTATCTAGCTCGGTGCGAAACAATGCAATAGGTAAATTACTGTATTCACGCTCGCTCTACCCTTTCCTTTCACACACGCGCTGTTACCTCCGGGCTGACACGTGTCGCCTCGCAATTTACACCTGTTCAGTGTTGCCAACATGTGGGGAATTCCCCAAATTACGGGGAATTTAAAATTACTTGGAGATTTTTTGGGGATTGTTATTATGCGGGGATTTTGAAAATCGATTGCCTGGGCCAATTCAGAACTTTTTTTTTTTCAAGAAATCTAAATACTTATCTTAACATTTTTTGTTAATTTACTTATGAATATCGAATGACTCCCTTTTTTTAATTATCATCTTACACCACATTTAATTTTCGGATTTTTTGGTCATTCATTTTTGGTCATCATTTAATGCCTTTACTTTCTTTATTTTTTTCATTTACAGCAGCGTAAATGCAGCTACTGTAGTCCTTTTGTGTAGTGTTGTAGTGGCAACAAGGGAACGAATTAAAAATACTCCATGGGGTAAAATGCTTGTTACAAAAATATGTAGTGTGAAAAAAATTAGGTAAAAAGGAAAAAAAACCTTATAAAACTAATTGAAAATTGTTTCATTACTTAAAATAAAATTGAGGGGAATTTGAAATGGTCTTTCGGGGAATTTGACAAATAGGTCAAATTTTTGTAGGTCAATTTGCAAATCCTGCAGCGTTGCCAAACCGAAATTAGTTTTGAGTAGTTTTTTTTTTTAGTGTATTACTTGTTAAGTTTTGTGTTTCATGTTTTGTTTTAATAATGCCTAATGCGTACATTTATAGTGTTCGTGAATACGGCAATATGTTAATGTGCTTGGAGAAGCTCGCAGGAATGCTTCGCGTGCTTTACGAATTTACAATTTTATAACGTATCGCTAAAGGCGTCGGGATGGAACAAGTGTGTCATACTGGAAAGTTCATAAGGTGTAAAAGCGTAAGCCGAGCACCAAACCCGATGGTTGCTCTACGTGTGGGCAGGTTTATTTATGGATTTAGATCGGTAAGCTGTTTCATACCTAATTTTTTTAAATAACTTAGTACTGAACTGATCTCAATAGGTACATAACTGAATACATCAGAATAATAAATTACATTACATACCTACAAAATATTTTAAGTAAATTTTTCATAAGTGGGGACTCGAACCAGGTTTACTTAACCTGTGAATTAGAATTAAAGTGGCTAGGCGGAGACTAGCACAGTGGCAAAATAGTAGGTAATAAGTTAGTATTATAATTAAAATAAATAAATATTATAATAAGTTAGTATTTAGACAAATGTAAATTATTACAATTATTAGGTATTGATACGATCGCGGACTGTGGGCCATGCGCATTTGAGTAGATAGATTACTCATGAGCCGCGCGTATTTGGCATCGCGCGTACATTGACCCCAATCAGCTGATGTTAGGTATTTGAAGTTCCACTGCTGGTTTTATGTTTAAGTATTATCGTTTCATTTATCTGTACTATCATGATAGAGCGTGAATAAAGCTAAATAAAAGTTGTAAAAAAAATGTTAGTTTCTTCATCGGGATCGAATTAATTTTCGTCCCATCATCAAAGGTATCCTTAAAATTATCGTCTGTCTTCGTTTTCGGGAGCGTTTCAAAAATACCCTGTATGTATGAGTAATTTTTAATCACGTTATTGACATTTACTTCTTTTTAAACTCCAAAATTACTATAATGACGGTCTTATTGTTTCAAATCTCTTTACCAACACAGATCAATTTCTGCAGCAATAAAAACTAAAAATTTGGAATTATTATAGAACGTTGTTTTAAGCGCGCAACTAAATTTAGTCTAGTGAGCAGTAACTGCGTAGTGGGCTGCAACTTGTTTAATTTTCAATTTTTCAATTTCAAATTTTATACGCATAGAATCGCGTGAACTTATACTTATGTATTCTATGGTCACTGGTAAATGATCAGAATACTTATTAGTACATATTAAGCGAGAAAACTCTGTTAGTGAGAATGTTTACCAAGTGCCGTCAGTTTGCCCTCCTAAAACCTCTATAAGTGAGAAGCATAAAACCTTTATAAGTGACAGTCATTTTCACGCATTAACCTCTTCAAGTGAGATTAAGACTTGACTTCCTTGCCTGCCTGCCTGCCTTGCCTAATCTGGGTAATTACGAAATCAAACACACAGTGAGTCTTGCTTAGCAGAATCCACCTACTATAAAATAATAAAATTAAAAAAATAATCAAGTCTCAGTGCACTGAACGAACCGAAAATATCAAGAGAAGCCTAGATTTCAGAGTTTCCTGACGTTGAAAATTGCCTGTGAGAATGGATTAAACAAACACTCGATAAGAACGTTCCCATAGGTGGACCACAGCTGAAACAAAAATCTAAAGACTTCGTCACAAAATTAGGAATCTAGAACTTTTCAGCTATTAACGGCTGGTTGGAGGGTTTTAAAAAACGCCGTGGTATAACTTTCAAAAAAAGCAGCCGGAGAAAGTAGATCTATAAGGTCAGGGAGTATGTAACCAATCAATGATTTTGATGAATGATGAATGGATTTGCCGAGTCTTTTAAGAGGATATGATCCAATGAAAAAATTATAATGCCGATGAAACTGCTTTGTTCTTTAAATTTCTGCCATTTTTCAAGGGCGAAAAATGCCACGGAGGAAAACAAAGCAAGGGGTGCGTTACTATTCTTCAATGTGTTAACATGACCGGTACAGACAAACTCCCTCTTCCATTCATTGGGAAATCTAAGGAATCTAGATGCTTTAAAGGTGTCAAGACTTTATCCGTTGATTACGCGAGTAATACAAAAGCTTGGATGACTAAGCAATTGGTAAAAGATTGGTTAAAAAAGTTGACAAGCAAATGAAGAACAAGCGAAAAAAATTGCTTTTTATTGACAACTGTACTGCCCATATGGACTAACCAACACTTGCAAATGTCAAAGTTATATTTTTGCCTGCTAATACTACCAGTAAGCTTCAACCTTTAGAGCAAGGTATCATTTATACGTACAAACGGGTTTATCGCAGAGAAGTTGTAAAGCATACGCTTATCTGCTTGAAAGGAAACATTAGCCCTGAGATTAATGTACTCTTGGCCATGAAAATTGAAAGAAGAGTGAGTGACGTAACTGTCAAAAACTGCTTCACGAAAGCTGGGTTCAGTATCTATCCAGTTAACCAAGACTTTCAGATCGAGCAAAATGAGGTTGAACTTGACTATGAGCTTGAAGTTGCACCTAGCAATGAAGAATGGGCCAAGCTCGTGTCCCACGATACCACTGGTACCACTGGATTGACGACGACGTGACTACCGCCGGAGAATACAACGAAGACGATATCGTTTAAAACTGTGTGAACTCGTGTGCTGACGGAAATGACAGTGAAAATGAAGCCAGCCAATCACACATTTTGGATAGAGAAGTGGAGGAAATTTCAACAAAACGAGAAGCTTTAAAGGCGTTGGAGATGATTCCCAATTTTATGAAAATGCGGCGGTAAAAACCATAATTGAAAACAAATTTATAAACTTGGAAAACATACATAAAATTCAAAAACATAATCGGAAAAGAAATCAAAAGATTTTTTCAAGTACATACGTACGTACAAAAATGTTTATTCTAAATAATATTATAACGACATGTTATAATATTATTTAGACTAAACATTTTTGTTCAGCTTTTATTTCAATAAATATGTAATAACCATACATACACGTATATTGTTTTTAATTACGTCATATTTACTGTATTTTATAGATCTCTATGAGTGAGACAGACCCATTCTGTAACTCTGTAAGCTAGAAACTCGGGTTAGTGAGAAACCTCCATAAGAGTAAAAGAGATTGCGGTCACTTGAGCTCTCACTTATCCAGGTTTGACTGTACTTTGTGAAAAAACCGGAGATTCACCGTTGGAAAACCGATTGAAGTGAGATTCAAAACTAAAAACAAATAATAGTACATAGAAAATTCTTAACATTGAAATAATACTAGTTTTTACGGAATTTACCGCGTATATTTAACTTTTTAAATACCCGACGTTTCGAGAGCTTTACAGCACCCATGGAAGGACTGAGATGTTCAACGTCCAGATATCATAGTTAACCGCGGTTACCATAGATTAAAATTTAACTTTTATTCCGATCTACACAGTGTGAACTTATGGTATCACGACCCAACAAATAGCACACTAAAAAGAACTAGTGACCTAGAAACACTCCGGAAAATTAAATCTGGACGTAAAATGGATAATACCTACGTGCGCCAAATCACTAAAGTTGTATGGGTTATCAAAAATACACACGACCATCCCCGCGTCTACGGGTCCCTCTTTAGATCCCATTGCGATAATGCCGACACATACCGACACATTGATCACGTCCAAATGGCTGTAGACTCCGTGCTACAACAGGTGATTTTAATGTCCACCACTTTGAATGGCTTGGTTCTCGTTTAAACGGTCATGCGAGTAGATCTGTTTATGACTTTGCTCTAGCATATGGTCTGACACTACTGGTTACCAAGCCCACGCTCTTGGACCTTCTGCTGACCTCTCATCCGGACGGATATCAGGTTTATGTCGACGTCCCTTTAGGATCATCGGACCCTTTTCTTGTGCGGAATGTGGTGCCAGTCACGTTAAGGTCGCGGTTGCATTCTGCAGGCTGCCGCCGTGTTTAGCACTATAGGTTGGCCGATTGGGATGGAATGTGGTCTTTTTTTGCATCCTACCCTTGGTTGGGTTTGCTTCTCGCAGGGCAATCCTAACGTTGTTGCTGATTCTGTCGCTGATGTGGTACTCCAGGGTATGGAACTTTTTATTCCGTCCTCTGCGGTGCCCAGCGGAGGCAGATCCCAGCTACAGCATCTTCTGATGAGCTCTCATCTGGACGGATATTAGGTGTCCGTTGATGCCCCTCTTGGCTCTTTGGACTATTTTCTGAACCAGAGTAACGTGCCATCACGGTTACGTTCTGCAGCTTGTCACAATGTTTGGAATTATATGTCAGCCGATTGGGCGATTAAAAAGGCTCTTGGGGGCGGGTTTTCTCCTCACTGGATGATCCCAGTGTTGTTGCTGATTCTGTCCCTGATGTGGTACTATAGGGAATGGAACTTTTTATTATATCATCTGTGGTACCTATCGGAGGCAAAACCCAGCCGTGGTTTGGTCGCTCCTGCAAAATTGCATTACGCCATAAGTAAGAGTGCTACTAGGCCTGTTCTCACGCATTAACATCTCGGGATGCAAATATCAGCACGATTAAAAATAAGTATTATATTCCGCCCGGAGACCCTTCAAGTGCCAATACCAAGGGAAAGTCACGGCACATTGGCAGAATTGGCGAGAAACTAGTTCAAATTCTAGACTTTCTAGTCTCTCGCCACGGCTGTCCAAGGAAACTTCTGTCAGCCATCTCTCCCATCTCTGCACGGGGAGGACGAGTCACTGGCCTATGCCACAAAGGATAAAGCCGATCTTCTGGGCTCTCTCTTTGACTCTTGATTACGGGGGGAGGACACCGCAAACCAGCACCAACCATGAAGTATCTTGGGGATCATTTCAATCATCATTTATTTTTTTCCTATTGATCATCCTTAGATAATGTTTATCGTCAAAGATGCGAAACGCCTGGTGCTGGGATCATCAATTCACCTGCTAAACTTGACCATTAAGACAAATACTCTCTACAACTGAAAAGTCATATGCCAAGCAGTGAACTATTACAGGTTAAATGAAAAGAGGATATTTTTGAATCAACTGTTGGATAATTAAAACGTCACAATATGTATATATAACAAAATTATCCGATATTTTACCACATTTTTTAGAAGCGACAGTAGCCTAATGGCAGAGCGTGAACCGCGAACTCAAAAAGGTCGTGGGTTCGAATCCGCCATTCGACTACTGGCGTGAACCACTCGTAACACAAGCAATTTAAGCTTACCACGAGTGGTTAAGGGGAATATTAGTAATGTTTATAGCGTTGTTAATATTCTTTTTTTTATTTAAAAAAGTAGGGGAGGCTCCAAACACGACGTGTGCGGTGAGCGCCAACCAACTAACACACTCCCTCTGAAGGGGACGTTAAGTTGAGAACTGGACCGTTATCCACAGCAAAATAACTGGCAAACCAGTAAAAGAACGCGTGGTCCCTTGGTAGTGCGTAAGCACAAACTTCTAACGAAGTCACGCATGTCAATGCGAGTAAACGCCATACATAATACGATCAAATCCAGCCACAGTGAATGTACGTCGCACGGTTTAGGGTTTCTATGGCCAGTGTGCAAACCTCAACGGAATCACCTCAAGGGAATGGGGTCCCACGTTGTAGCCTTAAGAGTATTTTCATGTCCTCTTTCCAGCTACCACCCGTATGAGGCACCCGCATATCGTACACACACATATACTCCATCAACCAATACAACGGCAGATATAGACAAAAGGCAGTTATAAGATATGTAATAGTAATAATTTGCCATCAGAAAGGGTTTGTGTCACTAACGTTGAGTAGTAGTTGAGTCATTTTCGATTATGTTTGACTCACCCACCTACAAGTTGCATTCAATCATTCAAAGGTGGGAAAGTTACTGAGATATATTATGTTGTTATATGAAACATAATGGAGGTCAGAAAGTCTGCAGCCCCGTAATGAAAGGACGCGACTTGGGCAAAGCTACTCAGGTGTGAGTCAAACCAAGACGCAGAGAGCGCCATTGAGAATAGCAACCCGCCAAACAACCGATGCAATGCAGCAGAATGCAACAAGGATCAATACGACTATCGTCGAGCTTACACCATCCCAAGGTCCTCCATAGTCCATACAGTCCCAGCAGACGTCACCACCCACGTACCTCCATCAACCAGAACCACAAGATTGTGTGTCGAATCAGGTGCAGCACACCCGTAGATCCATCACAAGACGCAATACCGCAAGTAGCAGTGAGCATCAATGCAACTATCATACGGATGTCGCCCCCTCAAAACACATCACATGAGCCCTATCGACTTTGGTAACAAAATTCGTATTGTGGTTAACTAAAAATAACACCAACGTATCATGCTAATAAGACGCCAGTAAACAAAACTCCGCGTATCATAGCTCTGATGCACTAAGACATGAAGTTGAGTATGCTTGTTACATTCAAAAGTGTTACCAACCACACTCATCCCAATTCGAAAGATAGCCGACGGCCACGGGCTACGACGCCGCCCACAAATTGGTATGGGTTTATGTGATCTCCACGGGAAAGCTACAACAAACCCGCTTACAACTGGCACTAAGATGATATGTCTAGGTCACATCGGTTAACGAGTCCAAGTTTACCTCGGTCTCGGTTGCTTGCGACGCAGTCAACACACCACTATAAAAATCCTTTTATGTCCTATTTCTCTCAATGTAATGCTTTTACATATTTGAGACCTTCCACATATTTGCTTTATGTCATAGACCTTACTATTATATGTCTTTAATATAAGGGACTTCAACCCACAACTGAACTATTGTAATGCTAATGCATCATAGAGACCTTCTATAATAATGCTTTTGTATCATAGACCTTACTATCATGAGTTATTAATATATGGGACTTCAGCCCACGGCTCTACTATAGTAATGCTTATGCATCATAGAGATCTTCTATAGTAATGCTTTAGTATCATAAACCTTACTAATATTATGTCTTCAATATATGGGACTTCAACCCGCAACTCTACTATTATAACAATAGTAGAGTTGTGGGTGGCTCATACATCATAGAGACCTTCTATAATAATGCTTTAGTATAATAGACCTTACTATCATAAGTCCCTAATATAGGACTATACATTGTGCAACAGTACATAAGTAGTCTACCCTTGGATATGCATCTCCGGCAGCTTAAGAAATTTTCTTACACGTGAACACGCTCAACTACTTAAGCAATTTTCTTATACACGAACTCCCTCCACGACTTAGGCAATTTTCTTAATTCTTATACACAAACTCCCTCCATGACTTAAGCAGTTTTTGACCAATTTTCCAATTATTTTATAAATGTTATTTATCTTTATTATTACAATATTTTCGACTTGTATTTCTATTATTTATCTGTATAATTTTAACACAGTTTTTAATAAATTTATTGATTTTGAAAGGCAATAGGCCTTTAATTTGCTATCATTTTTAATGTCTGAAATGTATTTTTTTAACTTTATGCTTATTAATGTATTTTTATTGTTTAATATATTTTTGCTAAGAATTTTGACTGCTTTATATGATAATTAATTATTAGTTGTTTATAATAATAATGGACCTTCACAATATAAA